TATGTTTGCATAAAGACTGACCTGGTGACCACAGACTCAAAAGGCTACAAATATCTCAAAATATATAATTTACCTAATGTAGTCATGTTATTAAGAGTTATCGGAAAAAGATTTTAACTTTAGCAAAGTTCAGTTTATCGATTTTTTCTTTTGTTGCTGTTTTTGGCACCATTTATTTTTAAATTTTTATTTATTTTTCTTTAAAAAATATTTTTATTAGTGCATTACGGTCATATATAACATTGGGGTTTATTTTGACATAGTCATACATACATGGAATATAATTTGTTCCACTTTAATCTACAGTATTTTCTCTTTCCCTCTCCTCTTCCCTCCCTCTTTTCCTATTCCTTTATTTATTTATTTTTGGGTACTGAGGATTGAACCCAGGGATGCTTGACCACTGAGCTATATCCCCAGTTCTTTTTATTTTGAGACAGGGTCAGGCTAAGTTGTTGAAGGATTTACTAAATTGCCCAACTGACCTTGAACTTGTGATCCTCCTGCGTTACCCTCCTAGGTTGCTGGGATTACAGGTGTGCATCACCTTACCCACTTGTATAATTTCTAATGATCCACTCATTGCTCAATACAAGATAATGAAGATCAATTGATGTTTTTCTTCTACGTATTCCACAGTTCCTATATTTAAATCATTGATTCATTTTGAGTTAATTTTTGCATATGGTAGGAGATGGGTCCAGTTTCATTTCTTTGCATGTGAATATTTATTGTCCCAGCACCATTAGATAAAGGGACTGTTTTCTCCATTGAAGGGTCTTATCGCCCTGTGGAAATCAAGTGGCTACAGCGGTATGGGTTTATTTCAGGACTCTCAATTTTGTTCTGTCAGTCTGTATGTCTGCTCTTATGTCAGAACCATACTGTTCTGATTACTGAATCTTGGTCGGAAGTTTTGAAATCAGGAAGTAGGAGTCCTGAAACTTTGTCCTTTTCCAAGATTGTTTTGGCTATTTGGGGCCTCTTGCAGGTCTACATTAATCTGAAGATGAGCTTTTCCATTTCTGAAATGAAGAAAGAGAGAGAGAGAGAGAGAGAGAGAGAGAGAGAGAGAGAGAGAGAGAGAGAGAGAGAGAGAGAGAGAGAGAGAAAGAAAGGAAGAAAGAAAGAAAGAATTCAGTATTTTGATTAGGATGACATTGCATTGTATTACCATCTTAATAATTTCAAATCTTCCAATCTAGATTATGGGATGTCTTTCTATTTATTGGAGTCTTTTTGAATTTCTAGGCTCCACCTTTTAAAAAATACTTATACATAATCTTTTGGTTCATTTTGACAAAATAATATCTGCAAGGAATTTTATTTCAATTCCCATTCCCCTTACCTTCTCTCCTCCCTCCCCCATTCTCTCTTCTCCTTCCACTCCTCTGTTTATTTATTTATTTTTGATTGGCTTTCCTACGTGTACGTGCAGGTGAGATTCTTTCTGGGACACTTGTATGTGGATATAATGCACTATGTTCATTCATTCCATATTTCCACCCCTTTCCTTCTTTCCTCCTTCCCTCTCATTCTCCTCCTTTCACTTTACTGATCCACCTTATTTTTTTATGGTATCCAATCTCTTCCTCTGCCACCTTTTCCCCCTTATTTTGCTGTATCTTCCACATGTGAGAGGTAAACATTCGATTCTTAATTTTCTGAGTCTGGCTTAGTTCACTTAGCTTGATCTTCTCCATTTCCATCCATTTATGAACAGATATCATCATTTCATTCTTCTTTATGGCTGAGTAAAACTGAGAAAAAATATTTGCCAGCCGCCCCTCTGACAGGGGATTAATATCCAGAATATGTGTGTATAGACCACAGTTTCTTGATCCACTCATCTATTGATGGGCATCTGGGTTGATTCCATAACTTGGCTATTGTGAATTGTGCTGCTATAAACATTGAAGTGGCTGTATAACTATAATATGCTGATTTGAATTCTTTTGGAAAAATACCAAGGAGTGGGATAACTGGGTCACATGGTGGTTCCATTCCCAGGTTTCTAAGGAGTCTCCACACTGTTTTCCATACTGGTTCTACTAATTTGCAGTCCCACCAACAATGTATAAGTATACTTTCCCCATATCCTCACCAGCATTTATTATTGTTCATGTCCTTGATATTTGCCATTTGAACTGAGGTGAGGTGAAATCTTAGTGTAGTTTTGATTTGCACTTCCCTGACTGCTAGAGATGTTAAACATGTTCTCATATGCTGGTTGGCCATTTGTATTTCTCCTCTTCCTCCTCTTTGTCCTTCTCCTCCTCCTCCTTCTCCTTCTTCTTCATTTTTTTGCTTCTCCTCCTCCTCCTTCTTCATTTTTTTGTACTAGGGATCGAACCCAGAGGTGCTTTACTAATGAGCTCCATCCCCAACCCTTTTATTTTGTGACAAGGTCTCACTAAGTTGGTAGGGCCACACTTAGTTGTTGAGGCTGACTTTGCCGCGTCCGGCTAACAGAGCCGAGTCCGGCGAGGGACAGCGGGGTTAAAAATACACAGGACACCAAGGTTCTTCATCCAGGAGGGAGCGTGTGCGCGCTTTATTGCCAAATTTGTTCCCCTTATATATCTTTTTAACAGCTGCGGGAAATCACTCAAAAGTGAGGAGGGAAGAGTAATAACTGCGTCCTTGGGTTACCGTCACGTCACCGTCCCCTATCAGGAGGCTGGAACAGGTCAAGATGTTCCCGAGAGACACATATGCGCGAGGCAGATAAACAGGGAACCGCAAGCCCGCGTCACGGCCTTGTGAGCTGGCCACATTGACATGCATAACAAAGAACTGGGGGTTGACTCCCCAGGGGCCAGGGCGGGCCTGCTACCAGCATGACTTGAATTTGCAATCCTCCTGCCTCAGCCTCCCACTTCATTGGGATTGCAGGTATGTGCCACTGTGCCTGGTTCTGTTTCTTCTTTTTGAGAAATTTCTGTTTAGTTCTTTGGCATATTTATTGATTGGGTTATTTGGTTTTTTGGGTTCTTTATATATTCTGGATATTAATCCCCTGTCAGAGGGGCGGCTGGCAAATATTTTTTCTCATTCTGCAGGCTCTTTCTTCACTCTCTTAGTCACTTCCTTTTATGTGTAGAAACCTTATAATTTGATGGCATCCTACTTATATATACTTGGTCTATATCTTGAGCTTTAAGGGTCTTGTTGAGGAAGTCAGTGCCCGTACCTGTGATGGACCCCATTGTGATGGGGATTGCATTGAAAGTGTATGTTGATTTTGGTAGTATACAGGCCCCAATAGCACCATACTGGGGACCAAGTCTTTACCACATAGACCTTTGGGGATAGATAGCAGTTGACTTCATATGTGTTCAAGTTTGGCATGTATTATATTTATAATGTTATGTCTGTGGATGAATTGGTTTTTTATCAATCTTTTTTCACATCACCTTTTTTTCTCTTGTAACACATTCCACATTAATTCTCCAAATTAAAGTATATTTTTCCCAATATTAGAATAGCTGCTTTTTTTGTTATCCTTTGTGTAGAATACATTTTTCCATACTTTGATTTTTCAACTTATTTGTCTTTGGAGCTAAAGTAAATTTCTTTTAGACAGCATATAGTTGATTCATGTTTAAAATCCATTCTGTTGACCTCTGTGTTTTAATTGGTGAGTTTAATTCATTTACATTTAAAGTGATTACTATAAGGAAGGATTTAACTTTGACTATTTATTGTTGCTCTCTTTTTATTCCTTAATGGATCCAATACTGCCTTTTTTATGTCTATTTGACTTTTCTTTCCAGTGTATTATTTTGACTTCCTCTTTATTTCTCTTTTTGTAAATTTTAAAGTAAATTTTTTAGCAGTTACTATTTGGATTACAATTACCTTCTCAAACTTGAATCTAGTTTGAACTCATGCCAATTTAGCTTCAAAAGAATATAAACAGTCTGATCCTGAAAGGAAGTCTAGAAGAGCAGAGGAAGGAGATTAGGGTGGGGAAACGCGAGGGGGGGTGACAGGGGGAAAAGAGAGGCTTGTGAACTGAAGTCGAATTTCATGATGTATAATTTTGTTGGAATGAACCCAATGATCATGTATAACTATAAAGCTCTAATAAAGATTGTCTACATATCGATCAACTTAGAATGTAAAATCAGATCTAGTACTAGTACTGACATAATGTAATAGTCTGTAAAGAACAAAATGTTTACCCCCATCTCTGTTGATGTGTATGAGGAACATCTCTTAATGGGCATGAGAGAACGAATTGTCATTTTGTGCTCTGAAATGGATACATTTTAAATATGAATAATAAAAACTCTGCTCCTATACATCTCCTTCTGCCGACTCTCTAAAATGTTGTTATTGAAAGATGAAGATTGCCTTCTACTCCTCCCTAAGGTTTCACATTAAAGGATAATTCTTTTGGGAATTCTTCAATGATTCCTCCCAGTTGCTGGGCTTCCATGATACCTTCTTCTCTCCATCTGTAGTCCTTGTCATGTTGCATTGTGTTTATTTAATCTCCTTTTTCTTCTGCTATGTTATGATCTTATAGAACCAGGAATAGAATCTGACCCATGCTGCAGTACATAGCAGCAAGGGCATTGTCCTGTGCATAGGAATTTAAAAAGCATCATTTCAGTGAATACTTTCATTTGAGTCTTTCATTGCTTTTGTGAGTCAGAGACAGGACTTGTCCAAGGCCTTGGGAGTTTGTTAAAGAGATGAATCAGCAACCTAGTGTTCTTCTACACATGGATGTCCCCACGGAGTTAGCCTCTGGGGCCAATGATAATAGCTAGGCAGGGACCAAGAGCTTCCTTTGAACTGGATCTCCAGTGCCCTACAGCAGTGTGTTCCAAAACATGGGTATCACAAAAGAGAAAATGTTTGGTTTTGCCTCAGCCGTGTATTATTAGAGAGGAGGCGTCATCCTGCAGGAGCCCAGCTGCACACAATAGGACAGGGCGAGGGGCAGACAAGAGGAGGACAGGACGCCTTGCGCTCTCCTGGCTTGGCCAGCAGAGACAACCAGGAACTGAGTCAGTCTGTCCTGGGGATCCTTCTCCTCACAGCTCCCTGGGGAAGGCTGTGCCATCCTGGCTGGACTCGGACTCATGGCTCTGGTCAGAGTCATGCCACCCCCGGCTCTGAGGCTCCCCCTGCTCCTCTGTGTGCTGCTGCTGCCGCTGGAGGCCCAGGGAGGGTACCGTGGACGTAAGTGGGCCCCAGGTAGGTGACGGCTGTGTGGGTACACGGGAGGGACAAGAGGGACCCATCTTGGAGGACCTGGGCACGGTACCTCTCTGCACACCCAGCATGGACTGCAGCACTGTGGAGGCTCTGGGCTGTTCCAACGCCTGGCGTCCAGCCTGTGACCCAACCTGGGAATAGTGATGGTGGAGGAAGGCCCTGCACCTCTCCTTCCCCCTCCATTCCAAAGATCAGGAACAAATGGTACATGCTGAGGGGAAAGTCTAAGGGGCCAACAGGACATGATTCTTTGACCTGTGCACATCTGTGGGGACACGCAGAGGTACTCAGGGGCTGGAGGTGGTGGAGAAACGGTGTAGGTGTGGAGAGAAAGACACTGGGTGGGAAGATAGGAAGACAGAGCCAAGGTGAAGTTACCATCCAAGGGAACAGAAGGGTGGCAGTGTCAGGCGAGCCACTGGAGGAGCAGGTGCTGGAGAATGACCCTGAAGAGGGGAGAGAGGGGCAACAGGCAGGCTCAGCCTCCCCTCTGCATCTGCAAATCCTGCAGGGTGGGGAGGCTTGGGAGATGTCTAGGCTTCTCTGAGGTCCCAGGGCCAGAGTGTAGACTCCATGGGGGTGACTTCACCACGGCCGTGTCTGTGGGGGACAGGTCTTTGGTGGATGTGTGTGCAGGGACCCAGGCCGACCAGCCACTGATGTCTTCAGGGGAGGTGGGGTGTCAGGGAAGGGTGAGGATTTAGGACACTGCTGATTCCCAGGGTCTGGTGAGGGCACAGGGGAGTTCCCAGGAAAGTGCAGGAGCGTGGTGGACGGGTGCTGGGTCTCAGATTCCTGGAGAGTTGAAGCTGGAGAAGGAGGCTCTCTAGGCAGCTGCCCCCACCCAGCGGCTCCTGTTTCTTTTCAGCGTCCCCGTGGACTCCGGAAGCCGCGGCCTGTAAGCAGTGGCCCAGTGCTGAGCGCTGCAGCCTCCGCTGTTCCTATTTCCAAAACTGTCAAGTAAACAGCACGTGCTGCTTGACCTTCTGTGGGAGCGTTTGCCTGAGCATCCTGTGAGCAGGGGCGGGGGGCTTGCTTCCTGCCCCCCATCCCTCCTCGCAGAGACTGAGTCCCCCGAAGCCTGAGGACCTCTAATCCCAGCACAAGACCATCAACCACAGAGCCACCTCCCCAGGTCTGAACCCCTGGTCCCTGTCAAATAAACTGGAATGGCACCTGGCCTCTTACTCCCACAGCGATGTGCACCCAGAACCCCAGGCGACCGGCAGCACCCCGCCTCCCCTGGCCCAGGGCTCCACTCTCCTCCTGGTCGTGCTCTCTGCTCTGTCCCTTTGCCACACACCCCACTGGGCCCAGGAGGCTCCGCTCCTGCTGCTCTGCCCACTGAACCCCTTCTCCCGGTGGGCAGACTGCTCACGTGCAGCTCCCCCAGTGCTAAGGAGAACACGGCTCACCTGGAGCCAGAGGACCCGGTGAAGCATCAGAGGTGGAGGGAGAGCCTGGGCCTGGGAGGGCCCCAAGCGGCTTTCCTGGCCCATCCCGGCCCCACTCCCCCCATCTCCTTCTCAAGTTCAGATCAGGGTTTCTTTCCAATGAGGACAGTGAGTCCCGGAGACTCAGAGACTGAGGGGCTACGCGGTGCCTAGAGAGGACGTCTGGTCTGGACGGCCTTTCTGCTCACTTCCACGCGTCCTCTGAGACAGGAGGCCGCGCAGGAGGGCCTGCAGCAACCTCTCCTCACAGTACCCGCCCCCACCTACACGGCCACTCCTGTGACGGAGCCTGACCTCGGGCTGGGATCTGAGGCTCCAGGCCCTCTGCTTCCTGAATGTTCCTTACTGACCCCAAAACCCTTCCTGTGTGCTCTTGTTCTCTTTTGATCCAGAGGAGCCCAAGGTGGTGGGAGAGGTGGTCCATGCTGAGGTTCAGGGTTAGCTGGCACAGGTGTCCAGGGCTCTTGCCTGGATCCTACTGTTAGTGGAAATCGATCCCTGGGGGACAGTCTCTGCTCCTGGGTGAAGTCACAGTTCCTGTGAAGGATCCTGGGGCTGGATCCAGGGCTGGGTGACATGCAGCCACCTGGGGCATGGCCTCAGATGTGAAGAGACCTCAGGCAGGCAGGCCGGCCCTGCCCAGGGCATCTGGGCTGCCCGAGGCTCCAGCCCAGTGCTGGTTGCTGGGCTGCTCAAAGTAGAGGGGCAGAGGGGGAAAACTCCCCCCGACCAGAGCCCCTGACCTGCCTCATAAGCTCACGGGGCCCCAGGTATTTCAGGCTCGTCTCCACCTCTGACAAGGGCTGCTCTTGCACAAGGGGACCTCAGCAAAGATGCATGACCAACCACCAAGACAGACGTCACTGAAGTCGCTGGGCAGTAAGACCTGCTGTGTCTCCCTCCCACAGCCTCACTTTCCAAGCACCTTTCCAGGCCAAGGGGTGAGGGAAGTGCTAGGCTGACCATTCCCTCTCACTGGCTCAGGACCAGGGAGATGGACCTGACTAGTATGGGAGGCAGCCCTCGGGACACCCCTCAGTGCCCCAGAGACCCAGAGGCTGTACCCAGGTGCTGGTTGTGGAAGGAGTCACTCCTTCCTGGTCATGGCTGTGCTCTGCCTCAGGTGGAAGCATCTGTGTGTCCCCAGGTTAAGTAGGGCATGGGAGCGAGGACGTAGGACTCCTGGAGACCAGAATCTCGTGGAGGCAGAGGAGGAAGCCAATGGGAGTCTGCCAGGCTCTGGTCTCTAGATGTCAAGTTCCGGCCTGCAGAGGAGCCAGAGGGGTCTGTTGGAGACCAGGGTTGCCACGGCTTTGCGTTTTTGTTTTCCTGTGCCCCAGATCTGCTCCTTTCTCTATGTGATTAAATGAGAAGATTCTAGAAGGATCTTCTTCTCCTCACACACCTGCACCTGAAATTCACAGATGGGTGTTACCAACACCATCACCAGCAAGGTGTGTCCTACTCCTACCTCTGGTAGCAGTCTGCCTCCTTCCAAACCCAGGCTGCCTAATTCATGCACAACAGTAAGTCATTTGAAATGCAAGGGATGGGTTTAGTCTTGAACAGAGTACCAACGACTGGGAAAAGTGCATCAGACAAAAGCCTACATTGGAGGAAGGAGAGCCTCTTCAACAAATGGTGCTGGGAAAAGGGGAAATCCATATGGAACACAATGAGATTAAACCTCTAGGGCTGGGGATGTGGCTCAAGTGGTAATGCGCTCTCCTGGCATGCACGGGCGCTGGGTTCAATCCTCAGCACCACATAAAAATAAAATAAAGATGTTGTGTCCACCAAAAACTGAAAAATAAATATTAAAAAATTCTCTCTCTCTCTCAAAAATAAATAAATAAATAAATGGGATGGATTCAAACTAAAAAGCTTCTTCTCAGCAAAAGAAACAATCATTGAGGTGAAGAGAGAGCCTACAGTATAGGAGCAAATTTTTACCACACACATCAGATACAGCACTAATCTCCAGGATATATAAAGAACTGAAAAGATGATACCAAAAAAAACAAACTACCCAATCAATTATGAACTAAGGAACTGAACAGACACTTGTGAGAAGAAGATATATAAGCAATCAACAAATATATAAAAAACTGTTCAACATCTTTAGTAATTAGAGAAATGCAAATCAAAACTACTCTAAGATTCCATTTCGCCACAGTCAGAATGGCAGTTACCAAGAATACAAGCAATAATAAGTGTTGGTGAGGATGTGGGAAAAAAGATACACTCATATATTGCTGGTGGGACTGCAAATTGGTACAACCACTTTGGAAAGCAGTATGGAGATTCCACAGAAAACTTGAAACGGAACCACTTGACCCAGCTATCCCACTCCTTGGTCTACACCCAAAGAACTTAAAATCAGCATACTATAGCAGCTGAATTCACAATAGCTAAACTGTGGAATCAACCTAGATGCCCATCAATAGATGAATGGATAAAAAAAACTGTGGTATATACACAATGGACTATTACTTAGCATTAAACGAGAATAAAATTATGGCATTTGCGGGAAAATGGATGGAGTTGTAGAATATTATGCTAAGTGAAGTTAGCCAATCCCCAAAAACTAAAGGCCAAATATTTTCTCTGATTAGTGGATGCTGATCTATGATGGGGATGGGGCATAGGAAGAATGGAGGAACTTTGGATTGGGCAAAGGGGAGGGTGGTGAGAGGTTATCGGGTAGGAAAGATGGTGGAATGAGATGGACATCACTACCCCAGGTACATATATGATTGATTGAATGAATGACGTTCTTGGTCACACGTTTCTGAATAACCAAAGAATTGAAATGTTGTGCTCCATTTGTGTACAATGAATTGAAATGCATTCTGCTGTCATGTACAGCTAAGGAGAACAAATAAAAATAATGGTAAAAAGAAAAGCGTATAGACAAAATACCATTAGAATATATACTACACGTGGCATTCAAGAACAATCTTCTCTCCAGATGAAGTTGTTCCTAACTCTGAAACTGTAAAGTTACATTTTTAAAAAGTATACCCATCTGATCTGGGGTGGTGGCTCAGTGGCAGAGTGCTTGCCTAGCATGTGTGAGGCACTGGGTTTGATCCTCAGCATCACATAAAAATAAATAAATAAAATAAAAGTATTGGATCTATCTACAACCAAAAAAAATATTTTTAAAAGAATACCCATCAGTTAACATATCCACTGTTTTGGGAAGAATTCTCTTCTTGAAAATCTTCAGAGAGGGGTGGTAAAATGGGGAAGCCAGACTCTAAGTCATAGTGCATTAAACTTCTGATTTCTGAAATCATTCTGAATTGGTTTTGCTGGGTAAGGTTGCCCCTTAACATGTTGATTCAAGGATTCTATTCACTACATGGTAGTCTGGTGACATCGATGCCACCTGCATTGCTACCACCCAAGATGACCACCCCCACCTGCTCTCTGCAGCCACACTGCTCTGCCTTTGGGACCTGCTGTAGGAGTAGGCTATTCCTCACTCTGTGGTGCTCTTGGTCACATGTTTCTGGAGTTTCAGAAGAGTGGAGAGTCCCGCAGGCACAGCGCTACCTCTATGCAGACACGTGAACCGCAGAAATTCATTTCTACTCCACCAAGAAGCCCCCATGTCGTGTTGACCTGGACACAGAAACATTGAATTGAAATCCACAGGGCACCTTATAAGAGTTCTGACCTGGGCAGAGTAGGCCTTGGTACCTTCCTTTCTATGGCCTGAGTATTCCTGGATTAAAGAATTGCTGCTTCCTGTTGGTAGTTCTTCTCATTCCCCATTCCTCCCAACTTCAGACTCAAAGCTCTGGGGATATCTAGAGGAGTCTGTTGAAGTAGACTTCAGTTACTTTGCATCATTTCTGTATTCAGAAGGTTTTAAAAAATCTTTCATTGAGTATTTTTTTTTTTAACTAATTAACAAGGCTCAGATGAACTGCCCTGCTCCTGTGGAAGTCACGTACTGGAACACGAGATTCCTTATGACACCAGTCCAAGCAAGACGACCTTACACAAATTCATAGGGGAACTTAAGAAGAACGGTGTTACCACAACAGTAAGAGGATGTGAAGCAGCCCGTGACGTTATTGTAGAGAAAGAAGGCGTCCATGTTCTCGATTGGCTTTTGGTGGTGGTGCACCACTGTCTGACCACATTGTGGACGACTGGTTAAATCTTGTAAAAATAGGATGGGCCCGGAGGCTCGGTGGAGTGCACTGGCCTAGCCATGGGAGCTATCTGGGCACACCAGGTGAGCCTAGGGGCTGCCTCTGCTTGGGGGGCCTGGAGGCAAGGTCCACAGGTGCTGGCCTAGTGACTGGGGCTTCCAGGAACAGCACAGAGCCTGATTCCACCCAGGCTGGTTTAGCACTGAGGCAAGTCTGACGTAGACTTGTTTATAATTTATTTTTACCAACAGTTAGAAACCTGACTCTTATTATCTCCCAGTTATTTACTTGCTTGTTTGATCTTGTTTACATGTAAAGTTGTTTCAGAACTGTTAACACAAACCTCCATGAAGCATTTACCAGAGACCTGCTCTCCAAAAAACTCAATGAAAGGCCTGCTTGCCAATTCCCCATGTTGAAATGGCAAGTGAGAAATAAACTTTTATTCTAAGAAGCCCAGGAGATTCGTTTATCAGTTCTAAGATTATTAAATGGGGTGGCAAAAAAATTGTAAGCTTATGTACATTGTGGGGTGGAAACAATTTTGGGGATTATAATAAAGGTAGTCAGAGATAGTAGGATGAAGGGGGAAGGAAAAAAAATCCCCACTCTTGGTAAATGTGTATATTTATCAAAGGTTTCCTCCGGCTCACTTCTCAGTAAGAAGAGCTCAGCAGTCCCACGGTCCCACAACACTGCCCTGGGTTCTCTTAAACATCTCCCAGTGGACATAGGTGGTGGGCCAGTGGGAAGTCCAGATTCTCACGGGTTTTCAAGGTTTTCCTGTAAGAGAAAGAGAAAAAATTTAGACAGAAGCCAAGAAACTCTGAGAAACAAGCATTAATCCCCAGGCTTGACTGTGCCCACACCTGCCAGCCGACAGGCAGGAATATCTTAATGTAACAACAGAAACTGTCCACCCTGGACCAGGTGAAGGGTAGGGACCTTTGGGCCTGGCTAAGCCCAAGGGGCCCACAGGAAGTCTGACTGCGGAGGCAGCGGTCAGAAAGCTGGACTAGCAAAGCGGAAGAGCCCTGCACAGACATTGATTATATAAGGAAAGAGGCTGTGGCCTCTCAGCTCTTTCTTCACACTTTGTATTTGCCAGTGAACTGCTTTCCAGGTTTCGGGGACTTTTGTCTCCTACTATTTTTGTGTCTTGGGTTTGGGAAACTCTAGTCATCTGTTTGGGAATCATGGGCTCTGAAGAGAGGGCGGTCGTGGGTGAAGGCACAGACCCAGCCACGCATCTCCCAACTCACTTTTTCCCAGCAGATGTTACCACAGTAGGTCCAGCAGCACACGTGGTTTTTTTGTGCACATTTGAAGGTCCTTGAGCACTTCTGGGCACAGTCTACTATGTTTGGCTCTCCTGAGCACTCCTCGACCAGCAGGTCATCTCCTGAAAGTGGAACTTAAAGAGGTGGGTAAGGCTGTGTCATTGCCAGACCTAGGAGAAGAAACCCTCCATACACTGCTCCTTCTAGAATCTTTGCCCCCAGCCCCCAGCAAGGTATCTATCTGCCTAAAAAGAAAATTCCCTTTCTGAGCCTCCTCAGCTCCCACTCAGAGCTGCCTCTTCATGGACCACGTTGTCCCCTCCCCCAGGTCCCACCAGTGTTGCAGGTCCTGGGCCCTCTTTGAGCCGCCTGGAGACCAGACTCCGCAAACCCCAGCATTCATGCCTCCTCCCGTGAAATCTGTGCTAACTTAACAGGAGATTTCAGGGTCTGGCCGGCAGAGCAGAGACCCGACTTTCTCCCTCCTTCTCTTCCTTGCTGACTCTGCCTTTCAGAACTCGGTCTCTCTCCAAATTCTTATCTCTCTTGGTAAATTTTCTTAGTCTCTCCAGTGATTTCATTTTATTCTCGTGCCTTTTTGCCATCTTGTCACATTCTGAAAGGTGTGTGTACATTACATGCCCATTTGGTCCTCATCAGAGTGAACATATTAGGGCAAGAGCTTATGGAACTATGGAAAGTAGAACAGCTAGGTATCGTCACCCAAACTCAAAGACGTTGGGAATCATCATCTCCAGAGCTTACAGAATTTGTATAATGTTGAAAGATGCTCATTGCTATTTTCAAGGTGGGAAGAGGGGACACCAAAGGACCTCAGCTTGGGAATGTCTTGGATCTCTGTGCGTATAAAAGTGATTCTCCAGCGGGTGATTCTGGGAAGTGGGTCCTGAGTCAGATCCACCAGACGTGATGCCCCTTCACTTGCTCAGGAATGAGCACTGCCCTCTCCTTCTGTTCCCAATGCAGTCTCACCACCTACCATCATGTTTTGACTTCATTTCTCCCAGCACGGACAGCAGCTCCACACAGAGGAATGTCAAGTACAGGGGTATCCGGGACTTCATGATGCTGACCACGTGAGCAGAATATGCTGCGAGGGAGATTTTTTTTCCTTCCCAGTTGATGCTAGAGATCAAGCGGTAAAGAGAGGGAGGTAAAGGGTGGGTAAAGAGAAAGTGCTCATAGACTTTCTTCACACTTTATCTTCTGGGTGTCCTCCCTCGCCCTCTACCACCCACCACAGACTCACACCTTAGTGGAGAGCCGCCTTTGCCCCACGCCATCTTTTCATCTCACAGCATGCTTTCCTTTTTCCTGAGTAAAATATTTTTTAAATGTGTTGCCTTCCCTTGATTAAAAGATAATTCAGACTCGTCTTACAAAATACTTAAAATATAAAACGCACAAAAAAGAAAGTGAGATGTTTCTAGTAACTTACTGTTTGGGCATATGGTATTTCATTGTATATATGTGCATAGATAGGTATATGAATCGTTTTATAAAATGGAAATCACATGTATATTTTTTTTTTCATTTCAACTTAAAGACTCCCTTTGACACTTCTTGTAAGGCAGTGTAGTCTGGTGAATTCCCTCTTGTTTTTATTTAACCTTTCTTCAGTGTATCTTTTTACTTTTATGGACACAGAGTTGTACGTAGTCATGAGGTACAAGATACGTTTGATTCATGAACCCACTGGATAATCATCAACTCTAGTAATCAGCATATCCATCACCTCAGACCTCCATTTCTTTATAGTGAGTGCATTCAGATCCCTCTCTTCTATTTTGAGATATGTAATGAATTATTGTTCATTGTATGCACCCTGCTGGGTCCAAGAACACCAGCCCCCTTCCTTCTCCTCAAACAACCATTTTGTACCCACTGACCAACCTCTCCCCATCTCGACTCCTTTCCCTTCTCCTCGGCGTCTGCTAAACACTGTTCTACTCTCAACCTCGATGGTATCAACTCTTGGGATTTCACTTATGAGTAAGATTGTGAGGTGTTTGTCTATCTGTCCCTCACTTATTTCACATAACATAATGTCCTCCAAGTCCAAATGACAGGATTTCATGCATTTGATGGCTAATAGTATTCCACTGGAGATATATATATATATATATATATATATATATATATATATCTGGGAAACATCATCTTCATAGCTTACATATATACGTAAATATATATAAAATGTTTTCTTTATCCATTCAACTGCCAGGACTTTTATTTTGAATATTGTGAATAATACTGCAACAAACATGGAAATGCAGGTGTCCTTCCAACATACTGATTTCACTTTCTTTGGGGATGTACCCAGGGGTGGGATTGCAGATTGTATCATAGTTTTGTTTCTAGTTTTTTCAGGAACCTCCATACTGTTCTCTATCATTGCTCTACTAATTTACATTTGCACCAACAGTGTGTACATTTCCTCTTTGTCAACATATTCACTAGATCGTTATTTTTACTTTGTCTTTTTGATAATAGCCACTCTCCCTGGGATATGATGGTATCTTACCATGGTTTTTATTTCAGTTTCCTTAGTGATTAGTGATGTTGAGCAGTTTTTCATACATCTCTTGGCCATTTTTATATCTTCTTTTAAGATATGTCTATTCATATTTTAACCTCTTTTAAAACTGGGTTATTTTTGTTTGTTTGTTTTGCTGTTGAGATTTTCTTGGTTGCTTAGGTATATAGTTTGTAAATATTTTCTCCCGTTCTGTAGGTTATCTCTTCGTTGTGTTGATTGCTCCTTTGCTGTGCAGAAACTTTTTGGTTTGATATGGTATTTGTCAATTTCTGTTATTTTTATCTGTGTATCTGGGCTCCTAACCAAAAAATTACTGCCTGGGGCCAATGACCCAATAATTTTCCTTATATTTTCTTTTTTTTTTCCCATTATACAAATCATTCATTGAATGGAAATGAAGAATATAGAGAATGATTAGTTGCTTAGTTCAATGGTACACTCATGCACATACATAAACCCACACACTTGAGATGCAGAAATGCTATGTAGAAGAGAACATACAAAACTTGGTAAAATTTAGATGCCATTAATTTTAAGATACTCTATTAACTTCTTTACAAGAAATGAAAAAAAGTCTGCCACTTATATTATGAAATATTCATGCTTGTAAAATACTTCACAACTTCATAGATATGAAGGAAGCACTTTTACCTTAGACTCTATGAAATATGGTACAAATAAACAATAAAATAAATTAGGTATATGGGTTAGTGATGACATGTTAAGTTACAGAGATTCTGTACAAGTGAGAAAAAAGAAAACTTTCAAATTATATATTATATAATATGTTATAGAATTTTATATCTTATAACTCTTCAGATGTGGGAGGTTTTATCACTCCTATGGTTTTTTTTCTACATCTTCCTAAATGATAAACTAGAGGGACATTTATTATTATTAATATTTTTGCTAGTATGTAAAATTTTTTTTTAATTTTTTTTATTGGTTGTTCAAAACATTATAAAGCTCTTGACATATCATATTTCATACATTAGATTCAAGTTGGTTATGAACTCCCAATTTTACCCCAAATACAGCTTGCAGAATCACATCGGTTACACATCCACATTTTTACATAATGCCCTATTAGTAACTGTTGTATTCTGCTACCTTTCCTATCCTCTACCATCCCCCCTCCCTCCCCTCCCATCTTCTCTCTCTACCCCATCCACTCTTTTTTTTTTTTTTAGAGAGAGAGAGAGAGAGAGAGAATTAATTTTTTAATATTTATTTTTTTAGTTTTCGGCAGACACAACATCTTTGTTTGTATGTGGTGCTGAGGATCGAACCCGGGCCACACGCATGCCAGGCGAGCGCGCTACCGCTTGAGCCACATCCCCAGCCCTTCCCTTAGATTTTCCTTCTCATAGTTTTATATCTTATTTTTAAGCCTTTAATGTCTTTGGAGTTTATATTTGTGGCTAGTAAGAGATAGGGATCTCGGGGGCTGGAGCCATGGCTCAGCAGTAGCACACTTGCCTGGCATGTGTGAGGCACTGGGTTTGATTCTCAGAACCACATATAAATAAAAAAATTTTAAAAGTCTATCAACAACTAAGACATAGGAATCTCAGTTCATTGTTTTTCATGTGGACATCCATTTTTCAGAGCACTACTCATTGAAGAGACTGTTCTTTCTCCATTGTGGGTCCTTGAATCTTTTATCAAAAAACAGTTGGCTATAAATGCATGGGCTCTCTCCATGGATATGTCTGTTTTTATGACAACACCATGCTGTTTTGATTATTATAATTTTGTGGTATATTTTGAGGTCTGATAGTAAGATCTCTCCATTGTGTTCAAGATCACCCAGGTGATTCAGAGTCTTCTGTGGCTCTACACAAATTTCAGGATTATTTTTTCTAAGTCTGTGAAGAATAACATTGATAGTCTGATGGGATTGTCTTGAACCTGTAGATCACTTTGGATAGTCTGGATAATAATAATATTATTGTTAAAATATTTATTAACAACAGTGAATATTAATTCTTGAGGATAACTTTTCATTTATTTATATTCTCCTTGATTTCTTTCATCAATGTTTTGCAGCTTCTGTTGTGGAGATTTTTCACATCTTTGTCTAAATTTATTGCTGAATATTTTAATTTTTTTGTAGTTATTGTAAAAGGAATTGTCCTCTTGATTTCTCTTTCAGATAGTTTACTATTAGCATATAGAAATGCCACTGAATTCTATGTGTTGGTTTTGTACCCTACAACTTCACTGAATTTATTAATTCCAATGACTTTTTTATGTGGAGTCTTTAAGGTTTTCTGTGTATAAGATCATGTCATCTGCCCACAGAAAATTTGACCCTCTCTGTTCCAGTGTGGACACCCTGTATTTCTTTCTCTTGCCTAATTGATCTGGCTAGGATTTCCAGTAGCAGGTGGTAAAAGTGGGCACATTTGTCTTGTTCCAGAACATAGAGGAAACGCTTATAATATTTCCCCATTCAATTATTATCTGTGAGTTTTTCATATATAGTCTTTATTTTGTTGAGGAACGTTCCTTCTACACCTAATATGTTGTTTTTCACAATTGTATTAAATGCTTTTTCTGCAACTATTAGGATGAACATATGGTTTTTGTGCATGAAATTGTTAATGTGGTTTATGAAATTTATTGATTCGCATATGCCAAACCATCCTTGTATTGCAGGAGGAATCCCCCTTATTCATAATGAATGATCTTCTTAATGTGCCACTAAATTCAGTGTGCTAGTATTTGGTTGATCGTTTTTGTTTCTATTTCATCAGGGATTTTGACCTATGGTTTTCTTGTTTTGTTATGTCTTTATCTGGTTTTGGTATCAATGCAATGCTGACCTCAGAAGTAGTTTGGAAGAATTTCCTCCTCTTCAATCTTTTTGAGTAGTTTGAGAAAAACTGATATTAGTTCTTTAAACATTTGGTAGAATTCTGCAGTGAAGAGATCAATCCTGGGCTCGTCTTTGTCGGAAGACTTTCCATTTCTGATTCAGTCTCGTGGTTTATTGTTTGTCAGTTCATGTTTTCTATTTCTTCATAATTCAAGTTTGGTGATTCATTTGCATCTCTACTTCTTGTTTTCAATTTTCTGTCTTAATCTGTTTTCTGTTACTAATACAGAATACCTGACACTGGGTGGTTTAGAAAGAAAATAAATTTTTGTGGTTCATGGGCATGGAAGCTGGGAAATCCAGAGCCCAGAGCCAGCGTCTGCTTGGCTTCTGTTGAGAACCTCATGGCAGACGGCAAATGGGTACATGAGGAAGAGAGAAGAAAAGAGAAACTCTCATGATAGCTTCCCCATGTCCATGGAAAAAGCATTGATCATTCCTGAGGGCTCTGCCCCCATGACGCAAACCCCTTCCACGAGGCCTCACTTTCTAACACTGCCACATCGAGCAATTAAGATGCAACATGAATTTTGAGGACAACCCCTATTTAAACTATGGCAAAGAAAGATGACAGATATTCCCTGAAATTCTCTCCCTTCGCCACCGTACTGAAGATTGTTGGTGCTGTCTAGACACGGGCACTGGGGTCCGAGGGGCCTGGGCTTGATTCTCAACCCTAATACATTTAAATCAACAGAAGTTATGCGATTGACATAACAGTTTCTCCATCTACAATGTGAGTTCTATTAATGTCCACAATGCAAATGTTGAATACACAAAGCACTTGGCATAGGGCCTGGCTCACAGTACTTGCAAAATAAATGTTGGTTATTATTATTAAACTTAGACTTCTTTTTCTCCCCGCAGAAGGGTAAAGGTTATTAAATCTCATTGACTTTGTTGTGGACTTCAAAAATTTTTTATCAATTATTTATTTAATCTACTCGAAATAAATTCTTACAATTGAGTAAGGTTCTACCTTCATTTATCCAGCCTAAATTCATTCAACCTACAAGGATTTATGTAAAGTGACTGCTGTAATCTAGGAACTATTACAAGGACTGAGGGTACAGCTGTAAACCCTCCTCTCATTGAGCTCACTTCTAGCAGAGGGGACTGGGAGTAAAGAAGATACAGAAAAGAAATACCCAGTGTATCATATAGATATTGGTGTGAAGAAGAACAGAATGAACTAGGAAAGGGTGTGGGATCTGCAAAGTAAACACAGTGTATGCAGAATAAATGCTGCCTCTTGTTTTAAGCAGCTCATGGTGGAGCTGGGGCTTGAAAGGAGGTTAAGCATGGTTTGGTTTGGTTTTTAATTTTGTTATAGTTGTAGATGGGGACAGAATGTCTTTATTTATTTTTACGCGGTGCTGAGGATAGAACCCAGTGCCTCCCACATGCTAGGCAAGCCCTCTGCCACTGAGCTGCAGCCTTAGCCTTAAGTGTTTTTTTTTTTTTAAAGTCCCAGCCCTTCTTTACTACTCTCTTATTCCCAGCTGTTTTTTTCCTCTCCTGGAGGAAGATAGAAGACACAGATGCAAGGAGAAGTCAATACAAAAGAGAAGTCTGGATATTATGTAGTCATGGAAGGCATCATGGAACCTTTCCCTGCAAGTGAACCATTTCCAAAAAAGTCTTTATTTTTGCTTCAACATTTTCAACCAAGCAGAAGAAAACCTACATGCACTACATGCATTCATTGAAATCCCTTCAAATCTCAAAATTGGGAATTTGCAATGTGCAAAATTTTATATATAGAATGTATTTATTTATTTAAGGTGCAAATCTTCTGAGATGAGCTAAATTCATTTTCCTCTTGGCATATATGAAAGATTATAAAAAATATCAATAAATTTTGAGCCACTTGAAACTTTAAATGAATTGCCTTTAATTTAAAAAAATAAAATAAATAAATAAATTTTAAAAAATTATTATTTTTTGGAAATAACTTCAAAGTTGCAAGAGTAAGAATAGTGCAAAGATCATCTATTGACCATTTACCCAGATTCACCTATTTTTAAGGATTTACCTCTGTTGCTTCCTCTCCGTTTCTGTCTCTATGTCTCCCTCTCTGTCTCTCATATCTTTTTTTTTTCTGAATGATTTGAGAGTAAATTTTATTTTTCATAGCTCTCATTTCTAATCGAAGGGTAATCACTTCTTAACAAAAAGGTAATTCTCTTGATGATCATGGCATAAGTAGCAACTTCATTTAAATGCTGATAAAATATAATTTAATCTACTATGAGTATTCCGTTTTATCAATTTACCCGGTAATATATCTGTCTACATTTTTTGAAGAATACAGTCAAACTTTTCTTTTAATTGAACATTCCTGACTTGGGGTTGGTCTGAGATTTATTCATAATTAGATTCAAGGGAGGTCTTCTCCATGGGAGCACTATGTAAATAAATGATGTGGTGCTCTTCTCAGCATGTGGCAATGTGGAGGCACCCAGTGCCCATCGGTGCCAACCTTCTCTGTTTCTCTACTTGAAACAATTAACAACAAGAGCAACAATCAATTCCATCAACAGTGCCGGCGTGAGGGGACATGACGTGCCCTGGGAGCCCAATGAAGCAAACCCCAAATGGGAGCTTTCACAGGCTCTTGCACTTACAGCCCAGAACTTTCATCTCCACATACCTCTGAAGATGTCTGAACCGGAGGTGCTGTGTGATTATATGGCCAGCAGCTCTTCTTCCTCACCTGCAGGACTGTGGGACCCAAGCACTCAGGGTAAGTGAGGAGCAGAATGAATTCCAACAACTCAGATTCTAATCATCCTTCTGGCTGTGACAGATCTGGGAGTTCTGTTCCAAATCATAAATTGGGGACATACAGAACATTGACCCTGGTTTTCTACTCAAGGAGTGTTTTTTTTTAAATTCATTTTGCTGCAGGCAAAGTAGACAGAGATAGAATGATGTGAACCTGCCGGACTCTCCTCCCCTGAGACACGCTCACAGCAGTCTGGGTGACTGTGGAAGTAGAGAAAGGATCTATGAATATCTTTTTCTTTTTCTTTTTTTTTTAAGGGAGAGAGAGAGAAAAAAAGAGAGAGAGCAGAGAGAGAGAGAAAAGAGAGTTTTTTAATATTTATTTTTCAGTTTTCGGTAGACACAACATCTTTATTTTTTATTTTTATGTGGTGCTGAGGATCGAACCCAGTGCCCCGCGCATGCCAGGCAAATGTGTTACCACTTGAGCCACATCCCCAGCCCCTCTTTTTCTTTTTTTTAATTTTTAAATTCTAATTTGTTATATATGACAGGGGGTTGCATTACAATTCATATTACATATATGGAGCACAATTTTTCATATCTCTGGTTGTATACAAAGTATATTCACATCATTCAAATCTTCATACATCTATTTTGGATAATGATGCCCATCTCATTCCACCATCATTTCTAATCCTCTGCCCCCTCCCTTCACCTCCCACCTCTTTGCTCTATCTAGAGTTCGTCTATTCCTCCCATGCTCCCCTTTCCTACCCCACTATGATTCAGCCTCCTTATATCAGAGAAAACATTCAGCATTTGTTTTTTTGGGATTGGCTTACTTCACTTAGCATTATATTCTCCAACTCCACCCATTTACCTGCAAACGCCATGATTTTATTCTTTTATTGCTGAGTAATATTCCATTGTGTGTGTATATATATATATATATATATATCACAATTTTTTTATGCATTCATCTACTGAAGGGCATCTAGGTTGGTTCCACAGTTTAGCTATTGTGAATTGTGCTGCTATAAACATTGATGTGGCTGTGTCCTTGTAGTATGCTGTTTTTTTAAAATATATATTTATTTATTTTTATGTGGTGCTGAGGATCAAACTCAGTGCCTCACATGTGTGAGGCAGGTGCTCTGCCACTGAACTACAGCCCCTGCCCCAGTATGCTGTTTTTAAGTCCTTTGGGTTTAGACCGAGGAGAGGGATAGCTGGGTCAAATGGTGATTCCATTCCCAGTTTTCCAAGGAATCTCCTTACTGCTTTCCATATTGGCTGCACCAGTTTGCAGTCCCACCAGCAGTGTATGAGCGTGCCTTTTCCCCACATCCTCTTTAACACTTTTTGTTGTTTGTAATCTTAATAGCTGCCATTCTGACTGGAGTGAGATGAAATCTTAGAGTCGTTTTTATTTGCATTTCTCTAATTGCTGGAGATGATGAACATTTTTTCATATGTTTGTTGACTGATTGTATATCACCTTCTGAGAAGTGTCTGTTCAGGTCCTTGGCCCATTTGTTGATTGGGTTATTTGGTTTTTTTGGTGTTTAGCTTTTGGAGTTCTTTATATGCCCTAGAGATTAGTGCTGTATCTGATCTGGCAATATGATTCCATACCTAGGAGATCCAAAAAGTTCCACCAGGAAACTTTTAGAACTAGTAAATGAATTCAGCAAAGTAGCAGTATATAAAATCAACACCCATAAAGTAAAGGCATTCCTGTATATCAGTAACAAATCCTCTGAAAGGGAAATAAGGAAAACTACCCCATTTACAATAGCTTCAAAAAAATGAATATCTTTTTCTATAATGTTGTTGGATGGCCTTTTGAAGTCCTGTCCAGCTTTATATCCATTTCTCTGTTGCTAGCACCATCCTAACACTGCTGTATCTCCAATATCTTGTGGGTTTTGAGCCAATGATACAGGATCTTTTCCAAGAGGGCTTGGAAAGGGCCACGGTACGCAGAGAGTTAAAAGAGTTAAACCAGATTCAGATCCTGGCTCCTATTTACTTTGGGCAAATCACTAATCATCCCTGAGCATCCGTTTCCTCATTCATAAAGTGGGGGTAAAAACATCACTGTCCTTACAGCGCTCTTGAGGGGATTCCATGAATCATCCATTGAGTGCTTAGTGCTAATGACTGATAGGAAGGGAGTGCTGTGTAAAGTTTGGTAAATAGACCAATGAAACACGCAAGGAAATATCCAGAATCACCCAGTTTGTTATGTGTGCTGCCAAGGCAAGTACCAGAATCACCCAGTTTGGTACCAAATCCACTAAGCATAAAATATTTAATATTGCTAATGGATACTCTCAAAGACCCTGAGTTTAGTACTATTAGATTAATCTTTTGCAAATGCAGGAACTGAGGCACAGAAGAGTTAAGCAACTTGTCTAAGTCCACATGGCCAATAAGTGGCAGATGGAGAACTTGGAAGGAAGTGAGTCTTGGGCCAGGTATGCCCGATGATGGAGCCCCTGGTTTCTCCTGAACCTGGAAGCCAGGCTGCCCCTTGGGTCCACTGCCATCCCACAAGCCTTCTTTCCAGATGCTCTTACGAGATAGCAGAGGAGCATGAGGGTCCACATTGACTGTGGGAGCTCTGGGTAAGTCCTGACTGGGGCGTGGGGCATCCCCAGAATTACCTGGCTAGATTGAGGAGGAGGAAGAAGAAGAGAGAAGGAAAGCCTACGGGTTGCCCTAGTATTCTCTTCTCTAGCTCGGTTCCCTCCCTCTTCTTACTTTACAGTGTATGCTCCGTCTTGACCTCTTTGTGGGGCCCCTCATCTCTTCGTCTCACTTACGTCTTTCTGTACAAAAAAAAAAATGTTTCTTTGCAGCATCACTTTTTGCTTTCATACTAATTAGTGAGCAATCCAAGCTTAGTGTATAAACCTTATGGGTCTATAAAGACGACTTTTGAAATTCCAAAATCACTGTTCATTTGTTACCCTGTGGTGATATTTATGTATATATCCAAGGAGTCTTTTTTTTTCTTGTGCACATCTATTTTTAAATTGTGGATAATCCTGTAATTTTTAAATTTTTAACAGGTAAGATGTTTTCTTATAGTCCTAAATATTTTATAAAACTTCGTAGATCAACAGACTATTCTGATAACTAATCACCAGTCATTGGGCATCTTGGTGGTTCTAGTTTCTCCTCCTGGTAATAAATCATTTCACTATTATTAGTTTCACAAATAACTAGTTCCTTGAGTATTTCTTTATTCCTTGGGAAAGACAATATAAATAAAAATGGAATTAAACACGATTCGTCTTTTTACAAGATTTTTCGTTTTTACAAGATGTGGGTTGTATTTGCACCAACAGAGTATGGGTCAGCCCATTTCCCCTCATCCTGACCCTCACCTTGGCTGGTCCAGAGATAAGTCAGAGGAGCTGTGGGATGTTGGAAGCTCACACAGGTGTAGTGCCATGATTAATGTGTAGGCTTATCAGACACAGCTATAAAACCTGACTCTGTCACTTGCTAGTTGTGTGACTTTGGCAGGTTATTCTGTCTCTCTGAAACTCACAATCACATGTACAAACAGGAATAATAGAGTACAACCCACTGGTACCATAAGAATTAAGTGAGCAAGTGGATAGGCATGTTTTCTTTCTTCTTCTTCTTTTTTTAAAACATGGTCTTAAGTAGATTTGTTATCCATAGTTAATATTAACAATACACAAAGTGGGGAATGAAGAAAAATGCAATTAAACTTTAAAAAAAATTTGACTAAACTTTTGAGTAATTTTGTGTTGGTTCAACCTATTTTTGCAAGTATTTTCAAACTGATTCCCTTTAAAAATTACTATTTTTAACTGTCAAGCAATAATTGCATATATTTATGGGGTACAATGTGATGTTTTGATATATGTCTACATTGTGGAAAGATTAAATCAAGATAATTTAACAATCCATCATTTCACAAACCTGACTTTTATTCATGGGTGAAAGCATTTAAATCTACATTTTAATAATCTCAAAATGTGCAATGCATTACTATTTATTAAAGTCATGATTCTGTGCAAAAAAAAATCACTGAGACTTTGCTCCTATTGTCTTCCTGAAATCTTGTGCTCTTCCATCAACGTCTCCTCTTTCCCGCCCATCACCATCCCCCACCTCTGGTGACCACCATTTATCCTCTACTTCTGTGAGTTTGGCTTATCATTTTTCCTATCTTTATTGGTGCATTATACTTGTACATATGGTGGGATTGTTATTACATGTTTGCACAATCACACAGCGTAACGGTAGAATTGGTCAGTATCGTTCCCCACTCTCTCCCCTTTCCCGACGCTACTCCCACCCGGTCCCTTTCCTCTAGTCTACAGACCCCCCTTCACTGTTCTTAGGATCCTCTCAACCCCCTGCACCTTTCTCTTCCTTTTGTTCCCTCCCCAAGATACCTCCCACATACAGGGGCGGGGGGGGGGGAGAGAAAAAGAGAGAGTGCAATTTGACTTTCAAATAAACTGTTTTTCTGTGGAGAGTATGAACATACTAACTTCTGCAAATCACAGAAAATACCAGAGAATAAATGGAGCAAGACTCATTAGAGTCTTGTGGGTATTTTCTGTCAGGAACTTTGGAAACATTTTGTGCTCTGGTACCTGTGTGCGAATCCTGTCTTCAATATTCCCCAGCCTCGTAACACTGGGGAAATCCCACCACCTCTACAGACCCAGTCATGACCTCTGTCACACCCATCCGACAGCATGGGACCACGGTGTCTTGAACTTCAGCTGTGAGGATGCAATAGGCGACATGTGCCAGCACCATCATGGCACACAGTAGGTGCTCCATGTAGTCTATTTTTCTTCCCCCCACATCACAGCACCAGGTCCAGAACCTTCAGGCATCTCTTCACCCCCCGCTGGGTGTGATTCACAGCCCCCTGAAGGGAGATCCTGGATGGGCAAGAGATTTGAACACTCAGCCGAGCTGCTCACCGACTCCGTGTGGATTGGTGGAGGAAGCAGAACTGGAACTCAGAGCCCAGAACAGCCACTTCAAACACTGGCCACGTGTGGCTTTCCTCTCTTAGAGACTGCCAAAGGTGGGCAGGTGTAGGCAGGTGTAGGACGCGGGCTTGGCCTTTCCTCGTCCCCGTGTGGCTGCGAGGCAATGACAACCTCATTTTTCAATTTAAATTCCTTCAGCCCGCAGCAGTCCTGCCTCCGCACAGCTCCTGACCCCTCCAGCTCCTGGCCCCCGGCCTCCCTCCAGCTGCCTCCTCCTCTGCTTCCTGTCCACTCTCTCCATCCCAAGAACTTGTTTTCGGGGTGTGGTAGTTTTACTCAAAGACACCAGGTCCGCACCCTCTGGGGTCACTCCTACAGGCCTCCGGTCCAAGGAGTATCTCTAGGTGATGCTTCTGTTCCTGTCATTTGCCACTCCCGCCCCCTGTGGAGGCCAGACCCCTTTCAAAATGCAAATAGCTGTCAGGAAGGGGGACTATGGGAGCAGACCCCCACACCCAACCCTGCAGTTAGCAGAAACGTATGGACACGTCATGGAGTTTAAAATGTGCCTAATACACACAGGTGTGTATGTTCCTATGTGAGAGATAGGGTAGTGGAGGGCGTGGGAGGAAAGGGCCAGTGTGTGTACACATGAATATCTTAGAACTCAGGAAGAGAAGCCACATGCGGACGTTAGGATCTGTAACAACCCCCAAGGACTGGGTGTTAAAGGCTTGGTCCCCAGGCCTTGGTGCTATTGGGAGTTGGTGGAACCTTCAAGAGATGGGGGCTTGTCTTTAGGTCATGGACAGCATGCATGCCTTTGAAGAAGGTGGTGGGACACCTCTCTGTCTCCCTCTCCCTTTCTCTCTCTCTCTCTCTCTCTCTCTGGCTATGAGGTCAGTCGTTTTGCTCTACCACAAGCTCCTGCCCTATGTGTTGCCTTACCCAAAGCAGCAACAGAGTCAACCAATCATCTACTGAAAACTCCAAAACTTTCAGGCAAAGATAAACCTTTTCTCTTTATAAGCTGACTACCTCAAGTGTTTGTTACAGTGACAGAGAGCTGACTAATACAAGGTGGGACCTATCAGCCAAGGGCTCAGGGCAAGTTTATAGGAAGTAGTCATTGACCTTGAACTCTATGGAGGAAATAGGCTTTTTAAGACTATCAGGATCTGGACCAGACATAGCAAAAGATAATGATTGCTCTGCACAGAACATAATTTTCCTGCCATATGAACCAATGTCTTGGAAATGCATAATTCAATTATTTTAGATTAAGCACTATATTTGTTCTGTTGCTATAACCAAATACCAGAGGCTACAGAACTCTATAAAGTAAAGGTATTGGGGGATGGGGATGTAAATCAGTGTAAACTGCTTTCCTAGCATGTGTGAGGCCCTGAAACTGGAAAAAGGAAACAATGTTTTGTTTTGGAGGCTGAAATTCCAAGATTGGGCAGTTTCATCTGTTGAACCTCTGATGAGGGCCTCCTGGGCTGCTCTGATGAGGGCTTCCTTGGCAGAGGAGTGAAAAGGGAAACAGCTGTGTGCAGAACGAGCCCCAATGTGGGGCGGCTTCCTTTTATAACAACCTACTGGTGAGAACTAACTCATCCACAAGACAGGCACTAACCCTTCCCAAAGACGGTGTCCCCAAGGACCCGCCCACCTCCCTCTTGGCCCATCTCTTAAAGTTCCTACCACTTCTTCACATTGCCACGCTGGGGACGAAGCCTCTGGCACGTGGCCCCCGGTTTATCCCAGGCCTTTGGTCCCAGGTCTCTGTGCTCCGTGCTTGTCTTTGTACTGGCTCGTCCTCCTCCTGGCGGTCCTTCCTGTGGGAAGAAGTGTGACACACGGGCTGCTCTTGCCTCTGTGTAAACATTCCTGGAGACGGGTTTAGTTAGAGAAGGAAGTCTGCTCCTCGAGGGCCCCTGACTCTGGTCCACTGGACCTTTTCTAAAGATCCCCAAACGGCACGGATGTGTCTGGTGTGATGCCAGCCCTGGTGTTTGGTGACTGCATCTCTCCACCCTCTACCAACAAGCCTGTGCCAACCGCTGGATTTGATCGTTTCATTTCCTTCATTTGTTAGCTGGTCATCAGGCTCTTCCAAAATCCTTCCCTTTAATCTCCTTTTATCTACAGAAGATCTGGAAGGCATTTGGTGGGAGAGAGGGCTGTGGATTTATTGGCAAAGGAGAATCAGTCCTGAGCAGGATGGATGTTAAAGACAGACTCTGCTCTCGACCCCTATCTGTGGGCGAACTCAGACGCATCAATAGACTTTGGAGCCGCGTCACTTAGGTATCCCGTGGGTAGCCAGAGCTATCACCTGTACACAGTGTTCTTTCCAGCTTACAGGAGACACTGACTATATCAAAGAAAATACTTCTGGATGGGTGAGTATTTAAAAAAAAATGTCTGTAATACAGCCAACAGTAATTTTGGGGAGAACCAAATATCTAATACCTAAATCACTATTGATTTCTAGACCTTTAAACTTTGTTTTCCTGCTCTTTGGACTCTGTTTCAGCTTTCAGTCACCCCGTCCCAGTAACAAGAGGCAAGACACAGAGCTGTCAGCCAGTCCGTAGACACCTCCAGAGGTAGGTGGGGTTCAGGTCTTGAGGCTTGCGCTGTTGTTTGTGGGGTGCTTGGGTGTGTTCCCGTCCAGGTGGGGGCAATGCTGTTCCTAGGACCCGCATTTCTACAATCCCTAGGTCACCTTCTTGTTTTGTTCAAATAAGGAAACAGAGAGAGAGGTAATGTGACCTGTCTGAGGTCCCGAAAAGTAAAAGGGGCACAGACAAAACCAGCATTCCTGACTCTGAATCCAGAACTTTCTCGTAACAGTATCTGGGAAACCCAGGATCCCATATTTTGGGGGTCAGCAGTAGCTCTCGTGTCATTCTGACACCTGTAGATCTTTTAATTATCTTGCACTTTATCTCAGATGACCAAAGAATTCACCTAGAACTCTGTATGTGAGAAGCGCCCAGCCTGGACAGGATCTGAGAAGTGTCCCGGCCGTGATGGCGTCTCTCCTCTGAGATAATTCAGTGTTCTTAAAGTGTGCAAGAAAGGGATTAGGCATCTCCAGGATCCTGAACACCTCTTGGGGGCCATGATGTTAGAACAAGAATGTGACCTTCTAAATGAACAGATCTTAAAGCTCTGGAAAACTTGAGTCTAGGATGATATTTTTGAATACAAAGAAACAGCCTCATAGAACCAATGGCTTTGGGTTTACTGGGTTTCTGTCTCTAGGTTCCAGTCTTCCTCCTTTTTCCTGCAAAAGGCAGGTGCCAGGAACCCGGAGGCTCACTGCAATCCATGCCCACCCTCAGCCAGGTGGCCCATACCGCGCATCCCCACCTGGAAGTGGGTCACAGAGTCTAAGCACTGCATGCCCACCTCACACGGTGCTTGCTGGTGTCTTTGCGGGATCAGAATACTCAGGGCCTTGGGTTCAAAGGCTGGGCAAACTGCCCTGGTTAGTTAACGTCCCTGTGCAAAGAATGCGAGTGATTTGCAGGATTTCTGGAAATCTACCATGCTTCAAAGATGGATCTCTGATAGCCTGAAGTTCTCTTAATTGGCCTTCACCAATTAAGCTGTATTTTTTGTCATAAATGTCACCCAGTGGTAAATGAAGTCTCAACTTCTCAACTTGGCAATGTTCTATCATCCTGCCCACTGAGGCAAGCCAGCAGGGACTTGGTTTGAATGGAGAAGGTCCAATAGCAGAAACAAGTGTTGAGGAGTGGAAACCCCCAAACACCTGATTGTTCACAATTTCTCCTTTTCTTTCTCTCCCTAATCTCTTGCCTCTCCTCCAATCTTCTAAAACCAGTTTTCCTAAAAGTCAGTGTATCTAGTGATTCTTGTACCTAAACCAACTTCCAAATTTCACAAATGCCAAGAGGAGAAAGAGTCTTCGCAGTTCCTTTCAAGTGATCTCTGCAGTTACACCTGCTTTTCAGCAGAGTAGTCTTGGTGGGTATCTAGAGCAGCACTGTTCAGTAGGACTTTTTTGATAATAGAAATGCTCTGTCTTGAGTTACCCTGAAGTAATGGCCCCTGGCTACCTGTGGCTACTGAGTACCTAAGATGGCCAACAATTGGATTTTTAATTTGATTTAATAAATTTGAATGATGGCCCACATGATGATGTGGCCAAGGGCTGTCCTATTGGACAGTATAGACGAGTCTCCTCCGTTTGGGTTGAAAACTTCTGAACAAGCATGAAGACTTTCAGAGAGATGGACAATCACCACCTGTTGTCACAATATCAGAATTTTACCCTTTGCTGTGTCTCTTTGATATTCCTCCCTTTTTGGTCTCAGGAAGATAGAGCAGCAGACAGAGAGTGAAGGGGGCAGAGGTGAGCAGGAGGGAGTCTCCCTCCCTGACTCTCCTCCATCAGTCCTGGGAGTTAGGTGGCTGGCCCAGGTTCCAGAGCTGAGAGGTGGGGGTTAGGATTCCAGCTCAAGCCTCTCTTACTCTGGTGCCCACATTCTTTCTTCTGTAAAATACTAAGCAGCAAACAAATGACCTTGGTGTTGCCTAGGGTAGGACAGGTGCAGGGAGGGAGCAGCCCATGTCCAGGGGGTAGAAATGCAACTCAACTCTTGGTGAGAAAATTGTGGCAGCGAGCCCAGGAACGCTTCTCCATTAACTCATGCTATAAAAAACAATATCATATGTGCCAAACTTCAGCGGTAAGGAGGTTTATCTGGATATTCTTCTGTCAAGAAGAAAGGAGAGGGGGTGCTGGGGATGTGGCTCAAGTGGTAGAGCGCTCGCCTGGCATGCGTGAGGCACTGGGTTCGATCCTCAGCACCACATAAAAATAAAATAAAAACATTATATCCATCTAAAACTAAAAAATAAATATAAAAAAGAAGGAAGGAGATATTCAGGCCTTCAGAACATGAGGAATGATAATAATTGGACTGTTGGCATGACTTGTATGATGTCATCAAGTCTTTGCTTTTGTTTTTTTCAAAATGGCTAGTTATTTCCTTTGTTTCTTCAGGAAAACTTAGAAAAGACAAATTTTATGTGACTCTTCAACCACAGGCTAGCTTCTCAATTTATTAATTCAATTGTGCTGGCCCAGGCCCATACAATTAACAACCCCATAAGCTGTTGATAGCTGTGGCCTCTCTCCTCCCTCAGAAGTCACAGGACATGGTCAAGATCCCTCCTATGCCATTACTTTAGTGCTTCAGGTTTCTGCTCCTCCTGCCCAAGCTGACTGTCTCCCAGGACGGAGAGGAGTGGGGAGAGTCGTGGCACGTCAGATAGCATCATAAGCTGGCTTTGTGCTCACCTCCCGGCTCTTCTGGAGGAGACTTCGCGGGTTCCTTGGAGTCATAAAATGTCATCTGGCCAGTTATAACTTGGACACCTCCCAAACTGCAGCCCTCCTCTCTGCTACCAAAGCCACGTTAGCCAGATGCCCACACTTTCAGAGTCTCTTGACCCTAACACAAATATATTGGGTGCCCATCCGCTTCTGGGGACATGCAATAAACTCTCAGGATGGCCTTCACATTCACTTCAAGGTCCCCTTTACAGGCTGGGGACATAGCTCAGGTTGGTAGAGTGCTTGCCTCGCATGAACAAGGCCCTGGGTTTAATCCCCAGGACCATAAAATAAAAAAAAAAAAAAAGCAGAAGAAGATCCTCTTTCCAATCCCTTCAACTCGGCGTCATCTCTGTGGGTGTTTCATGAGCCCTAACCTGTTGTTGCCAACAACTTTTCTCAAGTTCTGCTGAATGAACAGTTTCTTTGACTTTGGAATCAATCTACGACCTTTTAAAAAAAAATCTGGAAAATGAACTTAAGAGTGAAAACAGGATTTTCCTAGTATAGTTAGATTGAAAGTGCACAGGGCTAAGAATACTGGTTAATATTTAATGAGCACTTGTCATGCATTATGGTAGTTTGCCAGGGCTGCCTTAGGAAAGTATCATAATGAGGGAGCTTAAACAAAATAGATCTATTTTGTAACAATTCTGGAAGCTAGAAGTCCAAGACCAAGGTGTCAGCCGGACTGACTCCTGGTGGAGGCTGTGGTAGAGGCTCTTCCACACCTCTGGTCTGATCCAGGACCTCTTGTCTTAATGCCTTCACTGAAGTGTCCACTGTACCCCCCATTACATATATTTTCAGATTAAATACCAGGACACATAATGTGTCCGATTTCATAAAAAATGACTGTGACATTAAAGTATACTCATGTACTCCTCCTCTCTAGGTGGTGAACTACGGATTTATTTTACAAATTATATAATCTGAAGATTGGTCATTTTAAATCATAAAACAATGCAATTTTTTTAAAAGAAAAGCAATGCCTAGCTTGGGAGTTGAACTGTGGTCGGTACTAGAGGAAGAAGAGTAGGAAAAAGAATAACTTAATATGATAATAAGCACTTTCCCTCTCTCTCCTACCCTCTTCTCCTCGGCCCCCTTTCTACCTCCACCCGTCTTCCGCCAGAAGTCAACCCAACACACGCAGAGCCAACCATGAGGCTGGGGATTCTCCTGCTGATCCTGTTCACCTGTGGGGTTGCAGTGCTTCTGCCTGTTCTGGGAAGCTTCAGGAACAAAGAGGGTAGCGGTGGTGGTGTGGGAAGGGGGGGCGGTGCTCTGTCCAGTTCTGGGGATCTCTCATAGCTGGTTCAGGACCCACATTTCCAGGATCAGCCTTTAAAGAACCCGAGCCCTCTTTAACCGAGACATCCAAGCAAGATGGCATCCCTCCAAGCTTCCTCCCCATCCCTGGAAGCAAATTGAGTGTATGGAAAGGGAGCACAGCTTTTGCCTACAATCATGAACTAGCAGGGAATAATATTTCCCAATGTGAGGGTATCCAGCTGGAATAAGGGAAATATCGACACAGAGCTTCCCTTTGAGGCCATATTTTCAGATCTCTGTGCCCCAAGGGGATGAGCCTTTGATGAGGGCCAAAAGGATGATGTTTAACACATGCATATTTAATTTGAAGGGAAGAACATCTTAGAACACACAAAAAAATGAAAAAGACAAATAAGGAGTCTTTAATGGATCGTGGGGTCATATGATTAAAAAGTGAGGCTAACTGAGCAGAAATGTGGTGATCAGTGAGAGCAAAGAATCTAGGAAGAGGGCGAGTTCATTGGTGGTATCAACAGGGGACAAATAGGAAGGGAGACAATTAGGTTCCTATTCTCCCTTAGCTCAGGTTTCCCGTTCTGCTAATCAGATATGGAAACTGGAGCTAGAGGATATTGTTAGCCTTAAAAACTAAGGTTATATGAGAATGAATTTAGTGGTGTGGTGTCATACACAGTGAGGGTATCCCAGGTGTTGTCTTTAGTACCCAGAATCCTGCAGGCCTGTGGTAACGTGGAAGGAGGGAGCATATGTCATGTAAGTGAGATTCAGTTTCACTCACAATACATGTCACCAGAAGTGGTCAGTAGGCATCTCTGGGGAAGAGATGCTGGTTAGAATTTGAGGAAGGAATTTTCTTGGAGGTCAGAGAACTACTTCGCTTGCGACCTGAAGCCCTAGTTCCGGAAAGGTTTCTTCAGCTTGAAAAGGGTTTCTTCAGGTTGTAAGTGGAGGGACCCTGCCAACTTCTACCATCTCCATTTCAGTTGAAGAAAAAGAAACTGAACAGTGCTGGGTGCAGCCTCCATCAAAGTACTGTGAGAAAAGGTGCACGAAGTCCCTGAGCTGTTTAATTCCAAACCATACATGCTGCTGGACTTACTGTGGAAACATCTGCCTGGACAATGAGTAAGTTGGTTGGTTGGGAGGTTAGGACCTGGGTGTGCTTGATGTCTGCTCTGCACTCACCAGTCAGAAGCTGGTCACCTCATTAGAAGACTACAGTCACCCAAATTCCAGTCTCTAAATCCAGGCCACCACTCTGCAAAATAACCAAAACAGCAACTTTTTCCTCCAGTTTCATTTTGTATTTCAAAACATCATTCTATATATCCTTCCTTTGTCCAAGGACCCAATTACTGGTCTCTTTCTCTCAACCAGACCCAAGGAGACCTGATCTCCAGCTGTTTGGAAAGTCAGCAAACCTCTTGGGAAAAAAAAAAAAAATTGGTTGGAATTTGGTGACTCCTGATGTAACAGAAAGAGTTTCTGTCCTCCTCTGGAACAGAGGATGCTAGTAAGTTTGGAAACAGATTTCCCCAAGGGCTTCTGACTTCTAATCACCTAGCATTTCTCTTCCAGAGAGCCCATGAAAACCATGCTAAACCCCTAGGTTCTGCGTGACCCAACTCAGGCGTGGGCGCGGGATGGCTGTGTGGTCTGGGAAGAGTGCTGCCTGGCTCCCTGGTGGGACACTTGCTTGCTCCATCTGAGGATCTTGCTGGAATCTCCTCGATCTCTACATCCTGAAAAGGTTCAAGGTTTTTCCCAAATAAACTAATATATCAATCATAAGCCTGAGAGCTTGTATTCCTTCCCTACAATTTAATTTCCCTTGTTACAAGCCCCCAAGACTTGTTCCCATTACCTTAGGAACATAGGTACCCAGTTCTGCCTTCCTCATCAGACCTATGTGCTAGCCAGCCTGGGTAATGGCTGTAGCAAAACTACAAAGTGAGTCCAGTTTTACTCACAATAGATGTCACCCAAAGTGGTCAGTAGGCAGTCATCCGCACCATAAAGGACCTAAGTTCTTCCACCTGTAGCTTGTCATCTCCCAGGGCCTCCTCTGCTGGTTCCTCTACATCTAGCCAGAAGATGAGAGAAAAGAGTTAGCATAGCGGCCCATACAGAAGATGTTCACAGACTGGTCTAGAAGCAGAGTTCATAGTTGTTATTCATCCTCCATTGGCCCTCCTGTAATCACATGGTACCACCTATTTGCAAAGGAGGCTGGGAAATGTAGTCTAGCAGTGTTTTCAAGAAAAGAAAATGGAATTTGCTCAACACATGGTAGTGTGTGATCTGAGAACTCATGCAGAGCTAGAGTCCTCAGCAAAGACCCAAGGCCCTGGCCTCCATCTCACTCTGTCCAACAGAGTAAGCACTTTTCCTTGTAAGAAATAGGACTGTTCTGTCATTATAGAAAGCATCCTGCCTTCCAGGTGGGTACCAGGAGCTTCTAGAATAGATCCATCTCTCTGCCATCCTAGTCTCCTCTTACGCCTATCAGGTCAGTTCTGTCTGCCTGGCAGTTTTACCTGGTGATAATATTCATATCTTGAGATTTCAGGGAATGCAGGGCTGCTCATATAATTTTCCTGAATTATGTACAGAAAATCATTTTAGAGATGTGACTTCCTCTTGATGAGGAATTTCTGGCATACCTACTATGTATCCACTCTCATGCCTCCCCTCATCTCCCCGGCCCCCGAGACACAGGACAAGATAGTCTCAGGTGGATGAGTCTGAATGTTGTATTGATCAACTTCATAGCCCAACCAAAGGTTTGGGGATATGACACATCAAAGAAAAAGTCCAGGCAAGGGCTAGGGTCCAAGAGAACACTAGTTAGTACCTTATTGCTCAGAGGAACTAAAAGGGTTGATGGAAAGTTCAGGAATGAGGGATTCAGGTAAACACTCTTCAGAAATTAGGCTTTGCCTTAACCTTGGGGGATGGGAGGACTTGCAGTTCTTTAGAATGAAGATGGTTATTCCTTCCTAACCGCCCCCCCCCCAAAAAAAAATGTCAAGAAAAACATAGAGCTATCCCCAAAGAAGCAGTAGGAAAGGAAAGTGTTGTCTTCTTGGGTGCCCTACTTCAATATCACATCCCTTTCCTACCTTCACATGCCAAGCCTGGGTCATGAGGGGTGGAAAGGAGAGAAGATGTGACTTAGCCAATATCAGCAAAAGAGCAATTGGCATATTGTGAATGGACAATTGGATAAAGAAAATATGGTATATATACATTCAATGGGGTAATACCCAGTCATCAAGAATGAAATCCTGTCACTTGCAGGAAAACAGGTAGAACAAGAGGGCATCACATGAAGTGAAATAAGCCAGACACCAAAAGACAAGCATCATATGTTTTCTCTCATGCGTGGAAAGTTAAAAAAAATGACATGAAATTAGAAGAGAAACCACAAGGGATTGGTAAGGGGGTCAGGAAGCAGGGAACAAGGAGTGGAGGGTAAAAGCAGGGAGAATAGATATAATTGACACATGATATTTGCAAGTTTGGAAATATCACAGTGAGTCCAATTAATTCATACAACTAATATGTGCTAATAATTATAATGAAAATAGCACTGGCCGAGAAGTGGAAGGAGTCCAAGGGATCAGTAAAATGTGGACACACGGACAGCACTGCCCCTTTGTCAGCCCCGCAGACACAGACACAAAGGCTCTGGACGGTACGGACTGAGCCCAGTGAGCTTTCTGCCCTGTCGTCCTGAAGGGCCAGCCGGGATTCCAGAGAAAGAAATGCTGAATTCCAGGGTGATCTGCCCAGTGCACTCAACGAGGAACTTGTTTATTGAATGCTGCAGCCTGTCTTCAAAATGGATTTCGAGGAAAGGGGTGTTCTGCCTACAGTGCCTGCAGCGAGGAGGCCAGGGCATGGCGTTCTTAAGAAGGCTTAAGGAACTGGGCGCAGGGCCAGGGCCAGCGGCTTTCAATGTTTGGGGCAATGATAGAGTTACTTATATCAGCGCTGGGGACAATCTAAAGCTGATTGGGTCACAGAGTGGTCAAGGCTCTGGTGTGATTTTTTTTTTTTCCTCATGGACATGAAGAAAGTGAGACTGCGGAGGTCACCACATCCCATCAAACGCTACAACACGGATGAACCTTGAGGACACCACACTAAGTGCAGTAGCCAATCACAAAAAACAAATGCTGCATGATTCTACTTGTGAGGCTTTTAAAAATTTTTGTTTTTTAGTTGGAGATGGACACGATACCTTTATTTTGTTTATTTATTTTTATGTGGTGCTGAGGATCAAACCCAGGGCCTCACACGTGCTAGATGCGTGCTCTGCCACTGAGCCCCAGCCCCAGCCCCATTACGAGGCTTTTAAAGTGTTCAAACTCAGAAACATCATGAAGTAGAATGTGGATACCAAGGGCTGTAGGAAAGATAAATGGAGAGTTGGTCAGTGGGTATCGCGTTTCAGTCACGCAAGATGTAATGCTTCTGGAGACCCATTCTGTTGTTATGGTGCATGCAGTTATGAATATATGGTAGAATACATTTTATTCTACCACATGTTGCAGGTGAATTTATTTTATGTGTTTTTTTCATGTTAAAAAATTAGTCTCAATGGCTCAGGAGGCTGAGGCAGGAGGATCGGGAATTCAAAGCCAGCCTCAGCAACGGCAAGGCACTAAGCAACTCAGTGAGACCCTGTGTCTAAATAAAATACAAAATAGGGTTGGGAGGTGGCTCAGTGGTCCAGTGCCCCTGAGTTCAATCCCTGTTATCCACCCCCCCCACACAATTAGTCATTCTTTAAAAAATTAGTTAAAGTAAGAAAATTCAAACCGCAGCAAAACTAGAAGTCAAAGAAATAGATTGCTCCTTAAAACTTTGAAGGGAGTCTTATAATAAAGGCCTTAATGATTTAAAAAGATGATATCGTGGTATAGGATATTGAAAATATTAATCAAGTTGTTATTTTATGCTTCTGTGATTCCTTCTTTTCCACCAAGCCCTGCCACCATTGGAACGAGGACATGAAGCTGAAGGTTGTTTCTCTAGGGAACAGAGATCACAAAATGAACAAATATGGACAGAACCATTTGCGCTCATGTATCTGAGGTCCAAAATCACTTTGAAAGTTATTCCTGATATTTGAGAGAGGAGAATTGTTCTTCTGTGCTTGTCTTGTGTTTGCAACTACCAAGATTTGGCTTCGACTGTCAGAAGTATGGAGTTTACGTGGAATCTTTAGGTTAGGAATAAAGCCAAATAACCTAAGAACAGTCTTTGCCCATTGCAAAAGTCATAGACATCTAACAGCTGGCGGAAGAACTCTAGAGGAGTGGACAGGAGAGGGGCAGGAACATCCAGGTGGGCTTGGGAAGCCCAAGGCAGAAGCAGGGCCTCTGGTTAAACAAGGTATTGAAACATGAATGTGGGTGTTTTTTTTTTTTTTCTATTGCTATTGCTATTAACAGATCACTACAAATTTAGTAGCTTAAGCAACAAATCATTACCTTATAGTTCTGTGGGTCAGGAGTCTGGCTCGGGTCTCATCCGAAATGAGGGCTCAGCAGGGCTTCTTTCCTTGATGCCTTTCCTCCCCGTAGAGGATTCACTTCTTGGCCATTTAGATTGTCGGCTGAATCCAGTTCCTCAAAGTGGAGGACCAAGAGCCCCTTTCCTTGCTGGCTGTTGGCGGAGGGCTGTTCTCAGCCTCTAGAAGCTACCCACGTTGCTTGGTCTCCCTTCCTGTTTAGAGGCAGGGACAGCAAGTTGAGTCTTTCCCACACTTCACATCTCTCCTTCTGGCTCATCTCTCTGACCCACTGGAGCAGAGAAAAGCTCTCTGCTCTTAGGAGTCACGATTTCACTGGGTTGACTGTAGTAGCCAGTCAGAGCCCCCGGGCAAGCCGTGCATGTCCACTGTCCTGCTTCTCTCATACCCTGGAAGCAATCAGACTTCTTGAAGAAGCAATGAGGAAGCTGAGGCACCATTAGAAAGGGGTTAATGAAACAGAGCTGTGCTTTCCTGCTACTGAACATAAAAGGAAGAACCAAGAACAAGGAGGGAATCAAGCTGCCTCCAGTGAAAATTGCTCAAAGCGAGGAGCCCTAGAGCAGAGGGCAGATTGAGGGTGAGTCCAGTTTTTCTCCAGGCCTCTTCACCGGGAGGCCACAGGTCTTCCCTGCAAGCCAGGGTAGAAGAAAGGTTTCAACACGGGGCCACAAGAAGCCTTTAGTTAGCTTAACAGTAGGTGGTAACATGTTGTCATTCTGTGTGTTTGATCATCAGCCTCTTCCCTTGCCCCATCCTGCCCAAGAGATGAAGTGACTCCTTAAGTTTCTAGAGATCGTAGGATCGGGGCCACTTAAATTAAATAAATTACTATTAATACTGAGGTCCAGAATATTAAGCCAAATTTTTGGTTGTCCTGTTTGGGATGTGGAAAACTTATTAGCTATTAGGTAAGCTCAAAGAAAGCAACTTTGAATTTCTTTTTTTCTGGTAATAAATTAGTCATTAAGAATATAAAATTAGAGATGCCCATGTTAATCCTTATTAAAGTTTGGAAATGGGCCAGAATGTGTGAACATTACTTGAAAGAAATTGAGTGAAATAAAATCAATTTTATGCACGCAAAAATTATATGTCGGGCTGGGGATGTGGCTCAAGCGGTAGCACGCTCGCCTGGCATGCGTGCGGCCCGGGTTCGATCCTCAGCACCACATACAAACAAGGATGTTGTGTCCACTGAAAACTAAAAAAATAAATAAATATTTTTAAAAAAAAAATTATATGTCAAGTATGCTCGAAATATGAAATATGTTTATATCATGTAGGAGCTGATTATTGCAAAGAACAGAAAATGTTGGGGGAATTCAGATACAGAAAAAATTGTTCCAATTAAAATTATGGTTTTTTTAAATTGTCAATAGATCATTATATTATTTATTTATATGTGGTACTGAGGATCAAACCCAGGGCCTCACACATGCTAAGCAAATACTCTACCACTGAGCCACATCCCCAGTCCATATGTGGTGAATTTTTAAGTCTCTGATGATTTAAAATTTTAATTTACTTCTTGATGCTCTTAACTAGCTTTTTAAAATACTGAAAGATATTTATATAATAA